AAAGGTCTCCGTTTGAACGCTAATAAATCTAAGGTTCTGGTATTTGAAAGGGATGAAGAGAGAACGAAGTGTGAAATATGGGTAAATCAGGAATGTCTAGAACAAGTAAATGAAATTGTATACTTGGGGAGTGTTTTTAACCGGGATGGAAGATGTGATTTAGATGTGGACAGGCGTGTCGCTGCCGGGAACAAAGTCAATGGTGCCCTGACTGCGTTAGTCAAAAGGCAAGGCGTAGTGAAGAGTGCACGCCTTGCAATACATAATGCAGTGTTGGTACCGACTTTGTTATATGGCAGCGAAACCTGGGTATGCCAGAAGAAGCATAAAAGCAAGTTGAATGCAGTGGAGATGCGATCTCTTCGTAAAATGTGCGGCGTTACCATGGCCGACCGAAAGCGAAACGAAGAGATTTGCAATATGGCAGGTTTGAAAGATGACCTTATCACAAAAATTGATAAGGGCGTGCTTCGGTGGTTTGGGCACGTTGAGCGAATGAGTGAAGACCGAATGATGAAGAAAATATATAGCGCGAAAGTTAATATTAAAAGGTGTCGAGGTAGACCGAGACTAACTTTCGAAGACCATGTGAGCAAATTGCTCGAAGAGGGTAGGGTCAAGAGTACTCGGATACCTAGACGTGCATGTATGAAGAAGATAATGAATCTGAAAGAAGCGAAATAGGTATGTAAGGATCGTGACACTTGGCGATCTGTTCTCTCTGGCTACCCCGTCAGGGATTGTGCGTGAAGATAAGTAAAAGTAATGAATAATAAATGAAGTGGATAATTTATATTCAAAAAATATTTGTCCGCTAAGAAACGATCATTGAGTTTTAAAAGAACATTTGTTTACATCAGCATCATATCAATTTCCATGTGTCATTAGTGAAGGTCTGCTGATGAAACTAGTTATCCCCGGAGGGTGTAAACGAATTATTTCAATGAAACCTCTTTGACCAACTCGTAAAACGTTTCAAGCTTCGAGTAACATTAGCGCTATAATGCTTATAAATTTATCCCTTATATTGTTCGTCGTAATTTCCGATGTCGAACTTTCATAACTTTTTTGATACTAATAAATAACATTTTTCGAACACATAACACCAACGTAAAATAGCAGCTTAACACTGCTGTGTTTTTTATGGTGAGTGTAGAGAACCACAGACCCTTTTTACTGGAAACGTGGCATTCCATCTTAGACCTCACCACTGGTAACGCAAATGCATTTAGATTCGTAATCAAAGATAGATAAATGTAGATGTGGTTGAAACACAGCAACCATCACAGTTACCATCAGGTTGACTGTGCGCTCGTTCGTTACCCTTATCATTTAAAAAAAGTATTTCTGGTATATCCCACAGACGCCTCTTACGATACCCACAGCAATGAAACCATCATACGACAACATACATAAAATTATACAAGCCAAAAATATTTACTTTCCGTTTAGACTCCGCCTTAATCGGATAGAAAGAAATACGCGATATTACACTTAAAGGACGTATGAAGTTTGAAGTGATGTTCTTTTAATATATTTAAAAAAATCGGTATAAATAGGTTGGGATCACATGAACAGGATGATTATACAGGATCCTTATGATGGCTCATTAAAAGACGCTTCTTTAAAATACTTGGCTTATCGCCAGCGTTATACTTGATGCAACGTCTGAATACGAAATCGAGAGAATTAATTTCATGTAGCAGCCTCGTGCCGATAAGTAATATATAAAGTAACCCACTACTATATAGAGTGACGACCTGAATAGGTATTCAGGAATTTGATGGATACTGTGGCCCATAGACATCTACAATTATCCTCGATTAATAATCAAAATGCAGATATTTTTTCACCCCTGAGGACTATGAGTATCCAGTAAAAAGAGTATCTCGCTTATTACCTCACTTATTCTTAAAAATAGATGGTATATTACTTCGCAGAGTATTATTTATTTATTTATTTAAAATCTTTATTGTACATACTTAATATGTACAATTCGCGGATTTAATGCCTTTAGGCATTCTCTACCGGTCAACCGCAGGCTAAGCAGAGAAACTTAAGCAGGTGCCATAAAAACTTGAGAATATATAGATATTATACGTGAATGTAAATATAAAAAAATATTCTATTCTATACATGTATGGTATGTAAATATAAAAATATACATACCATACATGTATAGAACAGAATAATTTTTATTCAATATAGATCACATGTGTAATTTTTATTGAAAGTCATTTTTTACTTTACCACTGGTTCGAAAAAAAACCTCTGTCCAGGGAAGAACCAGCAAGAAACCCAGCGGGACTTTTTTACAGCATATTTTACATTAATGGTTGTACAAACTATACAAGTACAAAATTTTATTTTAGAAACATCTTGGAAGCGACCACCTCATTCCCAGGGGTTATTATCAACCATGTATTCTATTATTATATAATAACCCTTTTTATACAGTTTCAACTTAACAAAACATTTAAACTTGGTAATAGAGAGAGCCTGTACACTTTCCGGGACCTTGTTGTAACAGCGTATACATGCCCCAATTATGAATTACTGACTCCGTGGAGTCGAGAAACTGATATCACTAGCTTGTGTTTGTTGCTAGTGTTTACAGAATGCATATAACTTTTTTACCAAAACTGCCTTTATTTTTGTGAACATAAATTAAATTTTTGTAAATATCCTTGGAGGCCAAAATTAAAATATATTTATTTCTTTAAATTTATCTCTGAGAAACTCTCTCGGTTTTAGGTTGTAAATAGCTTAAAAAAAATAGTTTCTGAATCAGCCGCATTTCCCCATAGCAAAATCCCATAAGACATTATGCTATGGAAATAACTGAAATAAACTAATCTAGTTGTCGCGGTACTAGTGAGACCTCTAATCATTTTTACAGCAAAGGCTGCATCAGCAAATAGTACCATATCATGATTATCCCCTACAAGAGAAGGTAAGTCATTAACATACACTATAAACAGAAATGGGCTGAGAGTGGAGCCCTGAGGGACACCCATTAGTACAGGTGACCCGGAAGAACTTTTACCATTGATAATAACTTTCTGCATTCTATTACTTAAATATGAAATAATAAGTTTAAGCGCTTTTTTTTGCGGATGGAAAATCATCAAATGACGCCTTTCGCTCTGGGTGGAGCGGAAGGGAGTGTCAGACTTTTACTGACTAAAAACCATCCGTGTTCCTTCAGTGCCCTTACGTTCCGGAGACGCGGTATCTCTTTCGAACAGCCCGCAGCCCCGGCAGGCGTCGGCCCTTGCGGGCCCCTTCACGCTGCTGACAGCTCTTTGAGGCACGCGTGGAACAAAACGCGCCGTCGACACGGCCTGTCGTCGTTAGACGGACGGACGGCGAGCTACCCATTGCTCGCCGTCCACAGGCCCGCGCCTACGGTGGCCGGGGGCTACGACGTAGCCCCCGACGCCCGGGGCGTCTCCCGCGGCGGCCGGGAAGGAAAGCTGCTGCTCTCTCCTTCTCCCGCTCCGCCACCTCCTTCGCTAGCATCACTGCTTCGCAGAAGGTGGTGACGGCATCCCATTCCGAAGTTTAAGCGCTGTGTTCTTGACACCATAGTACTGTAGCTTCCTGATTAATTTCTCATGGTGAACGCAGTTGAAGGCCTTGGAAAGGTCACAAAATATACCCAAAGCATCCTCTGAATTCTCCCATGCACAAAAAATATATTTAATAAGCTCAACAAAAAATATGTTTAATAAGCTCAACTCCAGTAACTCCAGTTGTCGACCGACCCCTTGTAAAACCGAATTGATTTTTATGTAGCAATTTATTAATATTAAAGAAACTTAACATCTGATCTAAAATTATTTTTTCAAAAATTTTACTTAATGTTGGTAGTACAGAAATTGGTCTAAAAATGGCGGGGTCTAATGTATTACCAGATTTAAATAAAGGTATGACTTTACTATGTTTCATTAAATCAGGAACACACCAGATTCGACGCTTGTATTAAATATAGTGGCTAGATAAGGTGCTATTATATGTATATACAAAAATAAATATATATATAGCTACAAATAACCTAGACAATATACTCTATAACTGATAAATAACATATATCATTTGTAAATAATACATAATACACAAACATATTATATAAAAACAACTTAAATAATTACAATACACTTAAGCAGAAACAAATAAGAAAGTTAGTTGCTGAAAGAAGAAAGGTAGTGATCAGTCATTGTTGGGTATCAAGCTCCACTTGTGCTGGTGGAATTCTTGACTAAATTAGGACTTCAATATGTAGACCGTGTAGGTAATTTATTGGTTGCTATAAGAGAGGTAGCCGTAATGCTTGTGTTCGCGACCGGGTTGTTCCGAGCAAGAAAAATGTTGCAGCGGTGCCGTGTTGTCTCCATGAAGGTGGTGGGGCCGTGAAGCGCTCGCAGAACCGGTTTGAGGTCCGCTGCCCGACGACACGAGCCGGGGAGTATCATAGGCAGTGACGTCAGGAACATATTCCCCGGGTTGAAGCAAGGCTTCAAGATGATGCAGGAGACACTGGAAGAGGGCAGATGTTATTAAATGCTCTTGTGATTGTTCCCTTTGTGGTGAAGATGTCAGCAACTCTGGTGTGACTATCCGATCCTGGTCTTATGGCAATCACTCTACCCATCAGCCAAAGAAGAGGAGGTTGATTGACGTCCTTCACTAAGACCATGGTGCCTGTCTTCAGCTCTTGCTCAGCGGTCTTCCACTTCGTTTGCTGTTGTAAGGTAGTAATGTACTCGTTGGAAAATCGGTGCCAGAAATGCAGCCGAAGCTTTTCAACTCGCTGGTAGCGTGGAAGTCGTTCGATGTTGCTGTTGGCGATCTGAGGATGCGGAACTGACGTGAGTGGTCGCCCGATCAGGAAGTGAGATGGGGAAAGATAGGAGAGATCAGAAGGATCTGAGGACAGATAGGTCAACGGTCTGGAATTTAAGATGGCCTCTATCTGACTCAGACACGTCGAAAGTTCTTCATAAATTAGATGAGTAAGACGAAGAGTACGACGTAAAAGATGTTTGGTTGATTTTACTGCTGCCTCCCAAATGCCCCCAAAATGAGGTGAACAAGGTGGTATAAATTTCTATGCCTTGGTTTGCAATGTCTGACTCTAAATCGTTGTAAGATAATTGTAACAATCGTTTAAGCTGATTCAAGGCGCCTACAAAGGTAGTACTGTTGTCGGAATACACGCGCTGAGGCTTGCCACGACGTGCGACAAACCGACTAAAGACGGCAAGAAAAGACTCCTTTGTAAGATCGGAGACCAACTCCAAGTGGACGGCTCTAACTGCAAAGCACACAAAAACACAAATGTATGACTTCAATAGCTTACAACCTCTGCCTTTACGATCCGCTATTAGCACTGGGGCGGAAAAATCTAAGCCTGTGGTTAAAAATGGGAAATCAAGCTGCGTCCTCTCACTAGGTAGGTTACCCATGATGACCTGAATGGGCTTGCCCTTTACGCGAGTACATCGAATACATGTTCGTACAATTTGCTTAGCTAAGTTTCTACCACCGAGCGGCCAATATGTTACTCTTATATTTGCTAAAAGCAGTTGAGGTCCTGCATGAAAGAGAGAGAGGTGGTACGATTTAAACATTATTTTAGTGAGGTGATGTTTACTACAGAGTAATATAGGATGCTTTATATCGTAAGTGTAGTTAGAGTTCTGAAGGCGTCCGCCTACACGTAATATGTTACAAGAATCAATGAAAGGAGAGATACTGATCAATCTATTTTTACTGTGTAATATTTTATTACATTTGAGAGTATTATATTCCTCAGGGAACATTTCCTGCTAAGCACATTGTATAATTAGATTTTGTGAACGCTGTAATTCTGAATGAGACAAGTGAGATAAAATTTTGTTATTTGCAAATCTGCATTTATGAATAAACCTATTGACATAGGCTAAGGTTCTGATTAACTTGGTAAATGATGAAAGTTTGTAAATTAAATGAGTTATTGCATTGTTCCTGTAATCTCTTACATTATTCTTGACAAATAGTGGTCTAAGTGGTCTAAGCCATAAGCATGTATTGTTTTCTATTTAGAGAATCTGGCAGTCGGGATTCGCATGTCCCAGAGGATTTGATTAAATAATAAATGCCCCTCGTCTACCGCTTTATTTAGGTAGAGTTACTTTGGATACAATATCATTAAGTTTCAAAGTCGCCAAAACAAAATTGCAAAGGTTTGACAAGCTTGAAATATTCTTAAGCCGCCACTAAATCCCACACCGTCAGTGTCGTAAGAAGCAACTATGGAAAACAACACTTGACTCACAATTATTCAACTGCTTCGTGGAGCAGTGACTTGGCAATCACTTACAGCGCTGATGGCCGCGGGTTCGAATGCCGGACGGAAACAGTAGTCTAGTCAACAAGTTCTAAAAGGTGTTAATTCTTATTCTCGCTTTAAAAATATGTGTAATAGCTCATTCGATTCGGAATGACGTCTAGAAAAATCTTGAGAATTTATTAGCACATTAAACATTACAATCGTTATTATCAAAATAAGATGGAAAAAAGATATGTTGAAAAAAGATACTTGAATTGGAGGAAATTTCCAATAAAAGAGTCTCGACTCCCGGCATTCTATCTCTATTGTTTTTAATTTTTATTTAACACCGAAAATAGGACTACCCGCGATCTTTACAGCTAGAACGCAACACCGCTGAAGGCAGTGTATCACATAATTTTTTTTATTGTATTAAATATTAATTTAAAATTTTGAAAAAATTATGGTATTGTAACGATCAAATTTCGAAGAGCTAAAAAAGGTTAAGAACAATAAATTGTCCCTATTCCACTTGTATCTGGTTCACAACAGTCAATTCCTTATTAATTAATCCCTTCCCGCTTGGAAAAGGCTCACAATATTTATATCAAATACATTTTAATACTCCACATTTTAAAAAAAAATGTGGAGGAGGTACACGGCCCCACACACGCCGCGCACGGTGAGCGCCAACCATTTTAATGCGCTCCCCCCGAAGGGTACGCAAAGTTGGGAACTGGACCGTAGTCCACAGCAAAATAACTGGCGAACCAGTAAAAGAGGACTTGGCCCCTTGACAGTGCGTAAGCACAAACATCGACCGAAGTCGCGCATGTCAATGCGTGTAAACGCCATACAGAATACGATCAAATCCAGCCACAGTGAAATGTACGTCACACGGGTTAGGCAACAATCGGCACACTGACCATAAAAAGCCCTTCGTGAGCGCCACCACCTGCCAGACGGCCGTTTCTGCAGACGTGATGTAAGTGTAAGGCATCACCACCAATTGCATGGTCAGCACGGCCAATTGGCCGCAGAGCGTGTCATGAGTCTACCGCTCACCTCAAGGGAATGGGGTCCCACGTTGCGCGGCTTTCGGCCGCAGCCTTGAGAGCCTCCTCAGGTTCTCCCTCCAGCTACCACCCGCATGAGGTCGACACATATGCTCCACCAACCAATACAATGGCAGATATAGCCAATAGGCAGTTATAAGATAATATTAATAATTCGCCATCAGAAAGGGTTTGTGTCACTGACGTTGAGTATATGCATTTTTCGATCATGTTTGTCTCACCCACCAACAAGTTGCCTTCAATCTCTCAAAGGTGGGAACTTTATAGAGATATATTATTAAGTTGTTATATAAAACATCATGGAGGGCAGACAGTCTGCAGCCCCGCAATGAAGGGACCCGACTTGGGCAAAGCTACTTAGGTTGTGAGTCAAACCAAGACGCAGAGAGCGCCATTGAGAATAGCGACCCGCCAAACAACCATCGTAGAGACGCAATGCTACAGAATGCAACAAGCATCAATACGACTATCGTCGGGCTTACACCATTCCAAGGTCCCCCATACAGTCCCAGCAGACATCACTACCCACATACCTCCATCCACCAGAACCACAAGATGCATCGAATCAGGTGCAGCACATCCGCAGATCCATCACAAGACACAATACTGCAAGTAGCAGTAAGCATCAATGCAACTATCATACGGATGGCGCCCCCTCACAACACACCCACATGATCCCTATCGACTTTGGTAACAAAATTTGATAATGTTGTTAACTAAAAATACCACCAACGTATCATAGTAGTACGGTACTAAGACGTCAGTAGCCAAAACTCCACGTATCATAGCGCTATTGCACTAAGACATGAAGTTGAGTATGCTTGCTGCACTTAAAAGCACTACCAAACACACTCACCCTAATCCGAAAGATAGCCGACGTATCATAACGCTATGCGCTAAGACGCCGCCCACAACCGGTAGGGGTGTGCGATGTCCACGGGCAAGTCGTATTGCTACAACAATTCCGCTTACCACCGGCACTAAGATGATATGTCTAGGACACATCGGTTAGTGAGTCCAAGTTTACCTCGGTCTCAGAGGCTGCGAAGCAACCTACACGCCACTATAATAATCCTTTTCAAGTCCCATTTCTTTCAATATAATGATTTTACATATTTGAGACCTTCCACATATTTGCTTTATTTCATAGATCATACTATTGTATGTCTTATTCATATGGGACTTCAAGTCATAACTCTGCTATCATAATGCTTTTGCATCATAGAGACCTTCTATATTAATGCTTTGGTTCGTTAGACCTTACTATGATAAGTCCCTAATATAGGACTAGTCATTGTGCAACCTTAGTACTAGCAGTCGGTCAGCCGACCACCCCATATATATGTACAACCTTGGCTATGTGTCTCCGACAACGCCCCAATATAAGGGAACATTACAAGAACACGTTCATTAACTTAGAAATTTTCCAATTATTACACGAACACCTTCATCAACTTATCCATTTTTTCTATTATATTACAAATGTTATTTATCTTTGTTATTGCAATATAATCGCCTTGTATTTGTATGATTTGATACATTTTAAACATTTTAAGCGGGTTTTTAATAAATTTAGAGATTTTCAGAGACATTTTATGCGTTTACTTATATATATAATATTCAATATTCCAAATGGATATTTTTGAACTCTATGCTTATTATTTGCATTTTATTGTTTAAATTATAATTTCTAAGACATTTCTAAATGTCTGTATAATGAATTTAATTATTATTTACTACTGGTCGAGCCCCGACGGTTCGACAAAAATGAGATTGACTTCATTATGACGACCAGACGACAACTGTTCAGTGATGTCTCCGTGATCGCGAGGGTGAAAACTGGTAGCGATCACCGAATGGTTAGAGGCACACTGAACCTAAACGTTAAGTTGGAGAGGTCTCGTCTAATGAAGTCAACGCTCCGTCCCCCTCGTGCTCTGTTCCAAAGTCCCGAAACCTTTCAGCTCGAGTTACAAAACCGTTTTCAGTGCCTAGAAGACTGCAATGAAGTGGACGATATGAATGACAAGCTCGTGGAAACTGTCCATGCGGTCGGAGCTAAGCAAGACCCGCCGCAGAAGAACACAAAAACTCTCCGATCACACTCTTAATCTCATGGCTGTTAGACGGGAGATGAAGCTACATTCTTCAACAGACTTGACAGCATACAGGCATCTGAACAGACATATCTCCAAATGCATGCGGCGGGACTTACGCAACTTCAATACAGCTCGTATTGAAGAAGCGATCGAGCGGAACCAAGGCTCCAAAGTCTTTGCCAGAGATCTGTCTGCCAGAAAGAGCCACCTGTCAGAGCTGAAGACAGGATGTGGCAGCATCGTTTCCGGGACACCTGAGATTTTGAGTGAGATTGAGAGGTTCTATGGGCAGCTGTACACGTCATCGTTGGAGCCACACGCAAGTGTGAGTAACGATCCAAGAGCGAGTCTCATCCGACACTATTCCGAAGATATCCCGGACGTCAGTCTGAGCGAGATTAGAATGGCTCTCCAGCACCTTAAAAACGGTAAGGCCCCAGGCGAGGATGGAATTACAGCGGAACTTCTGAAAGCGGGTGGAAGACCGGTACTTGAAGTCCTTCAGAAGCTCTTTAATTCCGTCCTCCATGGTGGCATTACACCGGAGGCGTGGAGCAGAAGTGCGGTGGTCTTGTTCTTCAAGAAAGGTGACAACGCTCTCTTGAAGAACTACAGACCGATTTCCCTTCTGAGCCGCGTCTACGTGCTGTTTTCGAGAGTCATTACGAATCGTCTCGCGCGCAGACTTGACGACTTCCAGCCTCCCGAACAAGCCGGTTTCCGAAAGGGCTTTAGCACCATAGACCACATACATACCCTTCGGCAAATTGTACAGAAGTCCGAAGAGTACAATTTGCCACTATGTCTGGCGTATGTGGACTATGAGAAAGCCTTTGATTCCGTCGAAATTTGGGCGGTGCTGCAGTCCCTTCAGCGGTGCCAAGTTGACTGTCGGTATATCGAAGTGTTGAAGTGCTTGTACAGTAGGGCTACGATGGCTATCCGAGTACAGAACCAGAGTACGAAACCTATCCAATTGCAGAGAGGTGTAAGACAGGGTGACGTCATATCCCCGAAACTCTTCACCGCTGCATTGGAAGACGTTTTCAAGCTTCTGGACTGGAAAGGATACGGTATCAACATCAATGGCGAGTACATCACTCACCTTCGATTTGCCGACGATATAGTCCTTATGGCAGAATCGCTGGAGGACCTAAGCACTATGCTCAATGACCTCGATAGTGTTTCCCAACGGATAGGTCTTAAGATGAACATGGACAAAACAGAGATCATGTTTAATGTCCATGTCACACCTATGCCGGTAGTTGTTGGGAGCACTAAGCTCGAAGTTGTTGACGAGTATGTTTACCTGGGACAAATAGTCCGACTAGGTAAGT